AATGCCGACTCTGTGAAATTGTCATTGACATTATATTGTTTGAGATTATAACTGTGAATATTATTACAATGTAAGTGGACTAAACTTTGATGTATTTTGACCATTTGTGAACTTTGAAAGGGACTGAGACCTCTGAGTTTGTTTCGGCGTTTCTTCTCAGAGTAGTCCGTAGGAAATGCCGACTTAATTAAAATGCGAACAAGTAAAGGTGCACTGTCGAAAGTAAACGTTACTTTATTTACGAAGATTTAATTGTTTTATTACTGCATAAACATACCTCTACCGATATATATGACGAAGAGGGCTCTCGCTTGACATCGCCCATACCATCCTCCGACATACAGTTAAAAATTTAGGTTTCGGCAGAGCCATGCTTCGGTACGAATGGGCCGGCTCGACCGAAATGATAGATACCACGGCCGAGCAGAAAACCGACGTTAAACAACGATTACATTGTGTTTTGTCGTGTTAGTGATGTTACCGGAGGCCCAATTACCCTCCTCCCCAATCTCCCCAATCCAATATAATCTTCAAATTCCTAATCCCCAAAGCCCAAGCTGGTAACGCACTTGTAACTCCTAGCTCTGATGTTTTAGGTGTCCATAGTCGGCGATTGCTTCCCATCAGGTGATGCGTCTGCTTCTTTACCGTTTTATTCCATACAAAAATAAGTATGCCCTGAAGCTTAGTTACTTGCAAATAGTTAAATAACCTTGTAGTTATCCTTTATCTGAAAATGTTCTGACGTCATTCGAGCTTTGGTTTCTGACAAGAAGCACGTTCACTTCCCGCTCGCTGCATCTGTTTTATGCATGAGTATCGAATACATTGAAGAATTTGTTTGAAAAGAGTGATGAATTTTTTGTTTGCAATATGTATTGTATCCTCATAGTTTTGCGAAAATACTTTAAACAAAGCTATTTCATTTTCGACAAGGCTTTATTATGGCTGATATTGAAAAAATTCATAACCAACCAACAAAATATCTGTATAAAAACTGCTCTGTCAACCAAGGATCGATTCCTAGTTCAGCCAATGAAAAACTTTTTCAATTTTCGGAATTCTGGCCATACCGGCTCGCCTGTGCACTAATCTGTTCCGACAACCGTAGAAAGTAGGGTACGTCAGTACCCAACGTGTAATCCACTGAAAAATGCTTCTATTCGAGGAAAAGATCAGCGATGTTCATAACACCGAACATAAAACAAAATCCTTTTGAAGTAAAAACAATATCAAGAAGGAACTTTGCTACTCAAATCCAAAACAAAACAGAACTTTTTAAAAAATGAAAATAATTTTAAACAAAAACATCCAACAAAATAAATCACTGAGTTACAACGAAAAAGTAAGCTAGTTCCACCGAACATTAATAATTAGAAAAGTAGTCTAGAAATAATAATTAATGAATCTTTTTAATGAGGCCTGCGTAACGACTCCGCCTTGTCAATCTAAGTGACAACTGTGGCTTTATTGTTCACAGACCACAGATAATAAATCACAACTTCGAGCTGTCAAAAATGTAAGGACGAACTTTGACGTTTGAGAGGCAAAGGTATTTATAGCTGTGAGCCTGTGGAACTTCGTGCACATATTAACTTGACTGGCTTAACGTTGGAACTGTATTAGCAAACTAGCTAGTAAGCTAGAACTGTTTAATTGCGTACACATAAGTTCAGCGGCTTTGGAATTATTGAAGTTGTAGCAACATTGGCATGGCGTGCCCCACTAACTCCCCGGCGGGAACTCGTAACCTATGCATATGGACGAGGTATCTGTGCTTCACAACGAGCTCAAGTTGCCGACCACTTAGACGAGTGGGCTAGGCTGTTACTACAAGATCGATCGGTACACCATCTGGCTACTTTAAGCTGTCATAAATTCATGTTGAACCGAAGATGGAGTTTTAATATCACATCACTTGCTTTATCATTATCATATCTATTAATTTCAATTGTTACTACTAATCATACCGCTTCAAATAAAACATAATCTTAATCGATCACACTCAAGGCCGTTGTTCGTCTCATTCGCTTTGAAACGCCAACAGACACGTTGAAGCTACAGTTATTACGTACATATTGTAAAATTAAATCATTAAGCTTTGATGTAAACGTCACCTGCGCCCACGCACGCCTTTAACGTTTGATACGATTTTGACGTCAGCCCACGAGATCCGCGATCAATAACGCGTGATTTTTTGGAAAGATTTTCCTTAAATCATCTTGTCATGAGATGAAAGTAATATTGTTCATGATCTTTGTTTTATTTTACTAAACAAAAATCGCTTTAAATGCTGGTTTTTGCTTTGCTTTTATCCAGTGCCACTCTAAGCGATTTCACTCCAGATTTTATTAAACTCCTCGAACAACCTTTTCGTTTCAACTCAAAGCATAATTGATCAATTCACTTTCCAACCACTTTGCTTGTCGGTTTGGTTCATAACTGAAATACTACTAAAAATTTAAGTGACCTGTAATAATAACTAGGATTTAATTTATTTTATAGTAGACCTACAAATAATTTACTTTAATTTTCAATCTATAGAATGCTTGCTTTCTAGTTAAAGCAGGTTCCTTCCCAATCAAAATAATGCATGAAGAAAAGGTCTCATCAGTGTCGTATTTAAAATTAATATCTACGTTAAATACAACAATCGCTGTCCGCTATCACAGTGACCACACCCGACTATATCCATAGTAACAATGACGTGTGCGTATTGCCTACGTTGCACGTTGTAATAAAACATGAATGTGGCGAAACCAAGGATTTATTCCCGACCCATTATTTACGGGACTTTTGGCAATAACGGCTCACGCCACTTAGGACCAGCACCTTCTAATGTGAACGGAATGGAAAGCCACCTATCGTTAGATTTTATTATACTATTTTTTGGTTAGTGTTGTTTGATTGGCTGATGAATTAGTTGCTCGTATTTCAAAGAGGTTTGGTTGAAAGATTGAGCGCAGGTGTGAAATCTTTGCGATGATGGAACAAAAGGTGAGCAGTATAAGTACAAACGCCATCTACATCAAGGTCCCCCAATATTTCGAAATGCTATAACGAATTTTAAACTTTATTCCTTTACGATTAAGTTGGAAATCTAGTACTTTGAGGTTCTTATTCTTTTGAAACTTTTTAGCGATAGGTACCTACCAAATCAGACTATATCGAAATATCGTAAATACAACTTAATAAGGCATGATTTAACACATTTGTACCCAATTATTTAATAATTTGTAAGTGTAAAAGGTTAGTGTTACAGTGTCATAAAATGCCCGAGGTGTGAACACAACTTTGACCCTTCCAGTGACCGCTTCCATTGTTTTAAAATCCGCATTAAGTATCTTAACGTATATTAAATAACTGAATGAGGTTCAACTAACGCTTTATTGTTATAACGAAAATACGCCTGTTTCTTTTGTTTCGTAAATTAAATCCTTTTTACTAAAATAGTTTTCGTCAACGAAAGTTCGAATCGTTAATTAGGTATTTCAAAAATGGAGTTTCCAGAATTCTTTGTGATGATCACAATCATTCTTCGAAAAAGAATAGACCGAGTTATCCCATATTTCAGACAAGAACACATCATGATCTGGAAATCGACATTGTCAATCAACTCGTAGATCAAAGAAATTCATTTCATATTTTTTTCAAAATCAATTACGTGAGTAGGTACCTACCTACTCACTTTCTTACCTACCTACCTCCTGACTGAACTAGCTTACTGGCGAAATGGAAAGTCTTACAACTGGAGGATATTACCTACCTTAATATACGTAGGTACCTAACAGAAACAGCGACATATTTGTAATATTTAATACAAGCCTAAATAAAGCAACATGAAACATTTCTCTTTCATTCGATCCTTATCATTCACATCCAAAACAGCCAAACAAAATATTACCCAACACGCCCCTTCGTATAATAAATCTACAAAAATCACATTGTAGAGAGAAAGTGTAATTTACATCCTCAATTTCCCACTTATCATAAAAACACACGCATAAATATAAAAAGTCCAGTAACAAGCACTTTGCTATCGGCAAGCTCGCACGGATTGCCATACTTCCGCCATTTTGACATAATCATTTATGATTTATTTGACACATTGATACTTTGGCGCTATCTGACGGCGTGTGACGACAGCGTGGGCGCTAGTGTTGTATTAAAAAACTTACTAACATTTTTTTATTTCATTAATAAATCAAAACAAAATTTGATTAAAAATATTATAAATGTTTGTTTTGTTCCAGTTATTTAATATTTTTATTTTATAAAATATGTTTTGCAATGATCTATGTTCATAAAATAATATTTGTATAAAACTTTTCTATAGTTAATATTAAATTTTAAAATAAAATCAGATTTTCGTGGGTTCTATTCGGGTTCAATATTAAAATATTTGACTTTCCTGTGTATGCACAATCGAAATGAATTTAATTTGTTTGTCCATAAAATGCACTGAATAATAAAAAGTAACAACAGGTAATAAAAGCTTCGAAAAACTGAAACGACTTTTATGGAATATCGATAGGTATGTAGTCAATAGTTCCGATAGCCATATCAAAAGTCATGCTTTTTAATGCCTGAAAGGGAAGGCAGAGGAGCACATTTATTGTATCCAATGTAACACCCTACTTTTAACTATTTATAAGAATCTTATCGAATCTCATGTAGCAAGCTTACGGAAGTATCTATTACTTCCGTATACTTGTTTTTATTTTACACTTATCTATAACTTAGTAAACGGATAATATATTAAATATAATATTGTGGGTATTCTTTGCTAATTGTCGTGTGCTACCTAAACTATGTACCCATACATAGAAGATTAATCAATTGATTAAATAAAAAATCCTTCTTCATTTCCTTTTTCAGGTTTCATAACAAAAAAACTTTCGAGGAAACTTATTTTCGTAATTCAATAAAAGTTAACGTTTCAAAGTTATAAAAGTAAACTAGATGGCATGGAAGAAAAAGAAAATAAAAGTTTTGATTACCTTTCGGCTTCTTACCGCAGCTGTCGGAGCCGTGAGATTAGAAGTGATCAATGAATGAGTCTGCTCCTGCCAATACTTATAACGTTATCAATAAAATAAACTCACCTACACTCGCAACTTTATTGTTATGCTTTTCACTTTTATTCTCCAACACACGATACAAGTTTCCATCACAAAATAAATATTCTTTTTAGTACCTGTTATGTTCCAATTTTAAAACTTTGTTTATATTTTGCACACCACTAAAATTTAGTCGATTCCACAACACACTTTATCAATTTATAACATTATTTTAATCGATAAAAAACTGTTCTCTCCAAAATAAATGCCATTTTATTTATGTTGTTCTAAAATTTATAGTCGCACTGTTAATATTTATGTGAATTTTAATTTCTAAAATAATATTTACGGTTTGTGTGTACGATTCGTGCCAGTAACAGGTAAAACTGTAGGAATGTTCTATTGATATGTAGCTCACACGCCGACTAACTAATAAACCGCCTGTATCGGGGTTGGTTTATACTCCGACAAAGACAATAAAATAGAATCGACTTCTCAGAACACACGCTGTATTTAAACTTACTGCCATTATATTTGAGGCTTTCCAATTTTCTTATATGCTACCCTACAAGTAATTTGAGTACCTATACGGAAAATATCAATTTACTGAAGTTCCAGAGAATCTAATGAAACGTAATCGCTAACTTTGCAGCTGTCTAATAAATAAAGTCCTGAACATGAGAGGTCTTAAGTTTTTTAAGGCAATAATTTACTGACACGTGTATTAGATAGTAAAAAAGTTTCAAGAACAATTCAGAACTTTATCTCTTATTTGAGAAAATCTTAGTATTTTCACGCAGAAACTGTTATTTGGCCAGGTTTTTTATTTTGAATGAAAAAGAAAATAATTCGTCTGTCGTGTCTTTAGGAACGCTCGAAAATCGTTAATAAGACCCGTGTTACGTGTTTTATTTCAGCCATATTGTTGTGAATTCTTATATTATTTGTTGTTATAAACATAAATTACAACTGAAATGGGAATATTTAGGTTGCAGTCAGTGTTTATCAAAAACTTTGTTGCTATTTTTAATACATAGTAGTTTCAATAGACACACTATATTAGGTACCTACCTTACGTCTGTCACACAATAATTACAACGAAATCTAAATGATTATTGCAGGTGATCATAAACATAAATTCATGTCGTAGGCACAGAACCATCCGTATCTAGATTCATAATCTTTGGCCTGTCTGGTCTAATATTAGGTGCGCGTGCGACGGCGGTCGTTGCGTATCAGTTTTAGTTTTTATTGTACGCCGCGCTGCGCGCCGCCGTCCGGTGTATTTCGGGAATACTCGGCTTTACGGTCGGGAGACTGCGCTGGCGAAATGTACTGGGCTCATAGGGATTGTGATATAGCTGCTGACTTCATGATGATACTATAAGAGTTTCAGCATAGTTGGTTTTGGAACGAGAACATCGTTAAACTAAATAACCCTTTAATACTCGCAAAATAATTGAGATACTTATATAATATATGTGGTCATATTGATAGAGGTCAGTATTTTTGTGTTCTAAAGTCAAGTAACATTTTAACATTTGCGTAACCACTACCACTATTTAAAATTAAATATGTATAGTATAGGAAATATTTGTAACGCTTATCACTTCATTGAATTATTTGAGCGGATCGTACACATATAGAAACACAAAGTGTTTATAAAGACATACATCCGATATTATTCTTCACTTTTGATTAAGATCCCCACTGTCACTCGAAACTAATCGGTCATCTCAGAATAAATTACTTAACTAGGTAAGCTAGTTACATAAAAGTAATTTCATTTAACTTAAAATCCTGATGTTAACAGAATATTCAGTTAGTAGCACATTGTTCATTTATTGATGGCTAGTGTAAACAATGGAACGAGTTATTCAAGTCTCAGAATAGGTCAACCGCTTTCTTCCTGAGGATGTCGTAAAACATCGAATAAAGGAAGTCCGGCCAGTCTGGTGGTTTATCTCTATTATTTTAGATAATGCTGCGTCTGGTTAGAAATTCTTTTCATTTTTTCAGTATGACGTTATTACTGATATTTGCCTAGGGAAAGATATGATGGTATTAATTTTAACTAAAAACTAAAAATCGCGGTTTACTCACGTGAATATACCTACTGAGAAAAGCTCTACTAGTTTCGAACCACAGAAGGGATCTTCCTCATGAGCAGCGTATGCGGTCGCGGTGATGTTTTTTTAAGGGGGGAAAATCATCGAATGACTGTTCCCGCCTGAGTGAGGCGGGAGGTAGTGTCAGACTCACTGACTAGAAACCACCCCGTTCCTTCTCGTGCACATCGAGCCGGAGCCCCGGTTACCCGTTTAGTATGTCTTACGATAGTTAGTATAAAAACATGGTATTAATTTTAACTTTTCGTTAAATAGTTATTTAATAAATGAGTTGTAATCCATCTGCGTCTGATGTAATTGGCACTAGGTACTTGCAACGACCCTAAACTATCTTTATAATTTACTAGCAGCCCGTCCCGGCTTCGCACGGGGTAGACAATTATTTATTTTTGGAAATTTACATTGTTGTATTGTAGAGGTAGTATTAGTTGGACATATGCTACCGCGAAGTTTTTTGTAGACATTATGATGTTCTTCAATATTGTTTTACATTATTTTGTTCTATCGCTAATAGTTTCGGCAGCGCATTCGAGGAAAGAAATTTTAAGACTCATTTTTCTACACCTTCGGTTACATTGTTCAAATTTTACCAAGGATCCCTAATTTTTTTCAAAATGAAATGTAGCCTATGTCAAATTGGAAAAATGTAGCATTCTATAGGTGAAAGAATTTTTTAAATCGGCCGAGTACTTTTTTAACCTATTCATTACAAACATAGAAAAATAGGTACAAATCTTTCCTCTTTATAATATTAGTATAGATAGACAATTCATCAAATTTTTATTTTTTTATTAACTTGAAAATCTTAATTCGTGAAACAGATCCGATTATTTATTGCTCACTAAACACTACATTATATTAATTACAAAGCAATTTAGAAATGAATCTCGGGTAGGCCGAGACACAATCATACACTACATTATAACAATCAAATTCTATGAATAGTCGGACAATACCATTACTATTAAATATTCCGAATCAATTGGGTTTAGACACAACAGTACAATGAATACCCACTATTTGTACCAGTAATATGAACTACAATTAACATGAATTTCTAATCACAACATTCATTTCCCGAAATAGTTTAATATCAGGAAATTATTGTGATTAGTGCATTATTTCGTATCATTAACCCAACTCCATTTAGAACTATCAATTTTAGGAAATATCCGATACAAACTCTGTGTTCGACAAAATTAAATTAATATTTTAATATTAATATGTATTTGGTTGGCTGCTCAATTTTCGCTATTCACTTGTGTTAATTATAATTTTCATGTCATTTCATCTAGATAGGATGTAGATACAAGTAACTGTACAGTGTAACTGTAAGTTCCATTTTATATTTTGCTGAACAAAACATCTTTGACAGAAGGCAGTGGTGTCCTGGCCGAAATTTCTTATTATACAGTTAGGAAGGACACTATAGCTAAAAAAAACCTTAATTTTTTTCCGAACCAATAATCAAATATGACGACTTGAACCTACTCGTCAATTGCCAACATTTACTCTACGTAGAAAACACGTTCGTCATGTAGATACCTAATTAGTAAAGAACAGCTGATGTGATCAAATCCGCAGTTTCATTAGATTCATAAGGAAAACTACTACGAAAAATGAGAACGATGACCTAATACCATTTTCATTTTTTCAGGGCAAAACCAAATGCAATTTCTGCGAAATACTGTTCAGACAGAAAATGAGATGACGTCAGCATCAGTAACTATGTCCAGACTGCTAAATATAGCAGGACTATTAGTATTGTTGACTTAAATGAAGCAGGTCATTATGCCCGCATTATGCTAGGCGCATATACGCATTGCTTGGAGCGAATTGTCGGCACTGACATGCGATTGGCATCTGCATTAAAGACTATGAGCTCTATGCCTAATTGATTTATGGATTATCATGACTGTCATCCGTAACATGGATGACTGATAAACTGGACTTTTAACTCAGGTAGGTAAAGTACGACGTATGTTACTATTACTATACTAGTTTTCTGTCCTTAATAATTGTATACTGTTTATCTGTATCACAATACCGTAATACCTATCCAAATCTCATGTCCAATAAAATTTTATTCCATACTGAAACATGATAATTAAAAAAGTAAAAGCAACATGAAACGCGTAAATATTGAAATTGTAAATACGTTGTGTAAATAAAGCAAATAAAACGAACAAATATCTTCCATTTTATTTGTGTTTTATTTTTGTTCTGAGTATTTTTATCTGTAATTTGGGATTACCCCGCGGTATGTTCAATAGAATGATTGCCTTCAGCCATCCTTAACAAAGTACAAGTAGGGATGCCTAAAAAGGTTTTAATTGACTTCATTGCTACCTTTTGCCTGCGGCCTCACCCGCACTAGGTAAAACTTTATTATTTATTTTGAAACTACCAAATTATCCTTGCGAATTGTATCTTGACTTGACGTGAAAATGACTTTAATTGCCATTGTCATGTTATAAACAAAATTGATTTGGCAATTTAGGCGTTAAAAAAGGAACGTACTTTTAATTTTAGCATTTTTCTGAAATATGTCTGTACTTTTCATTGGTTAGGCACATATATTATATCCTACTAATGTAATAAATGAGAAAGTTCGTATGTTTGTTTGTTTGTTACTCCTTCACGTCAAAACGGCTGAAACAGATCGAGATGGAATTTGGAACCGGAGTAGATTAGGGCGTGGAACATGGACATAGGCATTATTACTTTTTAACCTACGGAAACGCGAGCGAAGCCAGTGGCAGAAACACAATATTTTTATTTTTGGGTTTTGTTGCATTTAGGTATACTCATAAAAACAGTACTGATTAATGCTCAAACCTTCTTCGTGTGAGAAGGGGCTTTGCTCAGCTGTGGGCATTTATAGGCCGTTGATGATGATTATGATGATGACAATTATTATGGTGCAGCTAATATTCTTCCCGCTTTAACTCGTCGAGTACCGTCATTATAGAACATTTTTATTGTTCTATAATTGTGTTCTATATTGTTCTATAATTGTGTCTGAAAACCGGTACTCGACGAGTTAATCAACGATTTTACCTTTTATTTCATAAGATGTGTTTGCAAGGGTATATTTAACTTTCATCAAGAGATATTCAGTGGTACGTTACATTCGTTTTTTGATAGCATAAGCTGACGTGAAACAACGCTTCTGCTGGGCCGTGGTATCGCTCCGGTCGAGCCGGCCCATTCGTGTCGAAGCATGGCTCTCCCACACTTCAATTATTATTATTCCAGGATGTTTCTTTGTATTTACCTACACTTAAAACAATTGCGAAGCAAATTCATAACGATATAGGTACAATACTGTAGTGGGCTGTTGATTGATTAATAAGCTTACAGAGGTTGACGGTAAAACAATTGTACATTGGCATTAACCAAAGTTTTAGATTCACCTACATTATAATTTTTAAGCACAGACAAAATTTTTTGTTACAACAGTAAAAGATAACTGATGACAAGTACCTAAATGTTGATACTAAAAAATACATTGTTCACCACTTCGACAAATTATGGGTGTGATGATTGTGTTATAACTTTATTTTATGGTACAAGTAACGCTCTCTACCGGTTCAAGTTTGAACTCATGAAGTAGACATTATAAGAATTCTTACTAAATAATGTAAATACTATAATAACTACTGAATGTCAACTAATAAACACAATTAAATTAAAAGCTAATTATGTGTTTATTTCATCTGTATATTAAAATTAGAACTGTCCTCAAAAAATAACATTTTTGATAATACTGTGAGCTTCTGAAATAACGCTGTTTTTATAAAATATACAAAGATATACAAATATGATTAAAATTTTACGAATACGTGTTTTTACTTCAATTGTCTACAAAATATAAAAAATTCTCAAAATCAATAATCACAATCGATTTAAAAATCGCCTAAATAGCCCAACACTACGTGACGTTTGAGTCTAAACTGTCAAACTTGACGACAGTTCCCCGCCGTCCCCGCCCTCTTTCCTCTTGACATTTTGTTCAAGACGAACGTTTATTTTTCGGCATCACACGTTTCGTGTCAAAGCGACTTAAAAGTAAGTGTTAATTTTAAAATATTAATGTGATTACAATGTTTTGTGTACTAGCAATATGTGAGATATGTTTAATTGCACGATGCCAGTGTATATTGTGTGATCAACTTGGATTTTGGTAACGCGCGCTGGACTTGCACTTTCAGCGGCTGTCTCGAGTGTGTTTAGAGTCATATACCCATCATATTACATTTAATCTAATTGTAAAATGTCTTCTCCTGAATCAAACCCAGGTATTTCACTTACTCTAGTCATTCCCAACAAAATTTACACAAATTGGTACCATGTGTTGACATTGTTGTCATGTCTCTTTTGGTAATGATTTCTTTCTATTCAAGTTATTGTAACTACATAATTAATTACCCAGTACATTGTTCTCCACGCTTTTCATTTCCTAGCAAGCAATTTATTAATTGAAATGTGCAAAAATCCGTATCTAACAACCTTTGATTTCTCTGTACATTCCTAACCTAAAAGTATGTATGAGTGCGCACATCCTCTGTTTAAAGTACTCGTAACGTTCCAAGTAGTAGTAACGTCCTGTGCATCCAATATTATTGCTAAATTACCCTGCCAAGTTGATATCACCATTATTATAAGATGCATCAAATCACATGTAAACAAATACATACATAGAAAAATGTGTCTATAATAACTTTATATTTACTGTTAGTCATATCTCTCTACTTAGCACTTATTAATCTATGATTTTATTACCAGAATGCGTTACGTGGCCGCGTATTTACTGGCTGTGCTCGGTGGCAAGGCGTCCCCAGCAGCAGCGGACGTAGAGAAGATCCTCAGCTCTGTTGGTATTGAGGCTGACGGTGAGAAGCTCAAGAAGGTCATCGCTGAGCTCAATGGCAAGAGCGTTGAGGAGCTGATCGAGCAAGGTAAGCTTTGATTATTAATTTTATTGTCTGTAAAGGAAGCCAAAAGCACATGTTAAATGTAACATTAACTTCCTTCTACAATCTGAACTAGTCCGCTAGGATTTAGAAATCGTGTTATTTTCGTTAATTCGTTTTGTATTGTTCAATTCCCGCACAGAACAACTCTTTGTGTGATTCACCGATTCTTGTTCCTAGTCAGGATATCAAGTGTATATGAAATTGTAAGTTTGTCATCCATGTTTGGGGCAATGTCAACCCTCTGCAACTGACGTGGTTAAATTGTTACAATTCAACTGAGGTGTATATTATACCAAACACCATTTCAACAGCAAATATTTTTGTAGACTTAAAGTATAGCGAGCACTATACAGTAAGGTACTCGCAGCAGTAATGCTCGTATTTGAAAAATGACGGTATAACACGTGATTTTGTATTTCGCGGTGTCTGTGGGACTACACGTCAGCTGCAGACGGTTAATTTAAAACTGAATCTATTCTCTCAAAATATTGTGGTAATCAAGAGGTTAAGTAAATACATACATTTGCTCCCACATTTATGAGTTATTTCTGAGAAATGAATCTACTTACTCAATTTGTCAGTATGCATTAAAGTACTATAAGCATCATTAATGTTTTATATCACAATTTAGATTGCTTACTATCTAGTTGATGCTTATGAGTTGATAGATTCGCCTATGACTCGATACAAATTCCAGTACCTAATGAAATTAGTTTTTTTTTATCATGTTCAGCTATTAACTGATAATGAATTTAACCAGGCCGTGAGAAGCTGTCGTCGATGCCGGCCGGAGGTGCCGCCCCAGCGGCCGCTGGTGGCGCCGCGCCCGCTGCTGCTGCCGCCGAGGAGAAGAAGGGTATGTTACATCTATTCAACCAATCTTTCTGCATTTCTTATAGGGATAGGCATATACATTAGACCAAGTGCCTTTGTATGCACTGGCTACAACGGTCAACCCATTAGACATAATAAATATGGTCCATAGATGCTCTTAAGAGAGTTCTCAACTTATTGTCATCCATATCATGTACTTGCTCTTGTGAGCTGGGAGACTAGTTCATCTTAATTGGAGTCAAAGAAAGAGAGTGATTTTTAGATAATTAAACATTGTCAACTTAATTTTCTATTAAATACCAATAGGACATAAGTTATCTCCACATTTCCATGATGATTTCAAACAACACCATCTTTCGACTGACAGCCTGTGCTGCTATCTACCATTACTGACACATCTACTCCAATACTTAGGTACATTGTCAACTTATGCTCTGTGCTAACTGTCTCTCTTATCATTGCAGAAGAGAAGGAGACCAAGAAGGAGGAGTCCGAATCAGAAGATGAGGACATGGGCTTCGGTCTGTTTGACTAAATGCACTTCGCAGGTGAGTTATAAAAATTATTTTACTTTTGATTTAGAAAAGTTCATTGTAAAATCTTAATGGAAACTATAACTGAGACTGTAGTTGGTACATTTTAAAATCAATTAGTTAATCAATTCTTGAATAAATAATATTTTTTGTCTATATTTAAATGATGATTTCAAACAACACCATCTTTCGACTGAAAGTCTTTGCTGCTAATCACCCTAACTGATGTATTTCTCTTCATAAGTTTATTATTCATCCAACAGTTCAAGCAATAACTCTGTCCTTATTGTTGTTTCAGCTCGCGCGGCGCTGGTCGTTATTCCATTTTCTATGGTTTAAGCGTAAAATGTCAGCATTTATATTTCTATGAAATATATTGCTAAATAAACGTTTTTGGATTTTTATTTATAAACACCAGTAATTAAAAACATCCATAAAATTAACACAATTTTATTGTAATATGGTTAATGGCCACAACAAAGATTAACTTTAAACACTATTTAATAGTGCATTGGTTTTTTAATAGTTAAGAACATATGTTAGTTGTTCTAAGTTTAATCGATGTCGAGTTTCTTGAAGGATCCCTCCACACTACCGAATATGTCGGAGATGGTCTTAGGCTTGCCCGGTCGCTTGGATTCCACCACTCGTTTCTTGTTCTCTTGGACAAAGAAGTCTTTGTTTGCTTTTAGTCTGGCTAGCATTTCATCTGAAATCAAACAATGTCATGTCCACATTTTCAATCTATATAATATTAAAGGTATCTTATAGGTATAAGACTTGATTTTGCCACTTAGAACGTAACTCACTATTCTTACTATGTTGGAATCTACTTTTCAGTTAGCAATATAGAAGGTTACGTCACATGATTGGGACTCTGAGTACGTATGGCGAATAATGTACAGCTGCAGTTACCAAATCAAATCTAGCCATGAGTAATTCACCAAAGTGCTGTAATAAGTTTATTATCGATTTTTGACTCTCGTTCCAAAGTATAGATTTCTTCTAAATGGTTAAATAATATTATTACATACAAGCTAAATTAAGTAACAACTTCTATGCTCCACTTACCTCTACACTCATTGAACGTCTTGAACTCGCCGCCTGCTTCTTTCGGCAAGCCAGTCATCGGGACATACTTGTCCAAGGTCTTGGCTCCGATTTGATGTATGGTTAGTACTTCCAGTAGTTCCTTCTTCATGAACGGCTTGATCATCATCATCAGCCGGTCCATGAATGATGGCGCGTTTAGGAAGTGGAGCCCTTTCACCTTTACCAACATAGCTTCCTGTAAAGCGATATTAATTTATTAAAATAATTTGTTAATTATTGTGAAGAAAAAACTAGTTAAAATTCCTATAGAAATTAGCCATAATCCCAAGGTATTGTTCCCAAAATCTAGTTGAATGCCTAAAAGTTTGGTACATTCTTTGAAAACCATTACCTACTTATATCTTTTTTTTTTCATTATAGTAGTCAGTACCTAGTATACCATTTTGTAATTAGGTATATCTTAAATTGGTAGAAGAAATTAAGAGACCAAACTACAGAATTGGTTCGCTATAGTTAAATACATTTTTATCCTTTGTATTTGCTTCATGTTGACCCTACCTGCAAATAATACAGGAACTGCTGAATAGTTTGCACGTCTAGCTTGGTGAGATGTCCAAGCTTGAGGCCGTCCAGGTCGAAGATCAGCACGAACCCTGGCCACGTGCCCTCTTCGAACTGCCATAAGTCTAGGATCATTAGCACTGACCTATAATGATAAAAAAAAATACAGTTAAGAGGTATTCACATTCAGCTATGTATTCGAATCGTCAATGTATTTTCAACGTTATCACGTTGTGGTCATAAGGTCGATAATGTCTACAAACCTGAGTGACTTGGCGAATTCGAAGTTTCTTGGCTCGTAGTCCAACAGCCGGCAGTAGAATACAGCGTCGCCATTTATTGACCGCGTGGGAAGCGGTTGGAGTAACCTGGAATAAAGACCACCATGTATACATATATTAATTAACATCGACTGCCCGTGATTCACCTGCTAGTGTTAAACTGTGGGCCTCCTCTACATACCTGCCTAAGACTAAAAGGTTTTCCATAGGCTTCTACGCTTGGCAGGTGAGTAACAGCTGCTTCAAAGCGTTGCTGTTGCTGCCCGATCCTTGTTCAATGTGCAGCTCTTACTACTGGATGCTTTGTACCTTTTTTATGACGGGGAAAGCCTGTTACGGTACCTCCCTTGGGAGATGCTTTGTACATACCTACCTAATAGCTCGTGAAGCAATTTGTAGGTACTATGTAGGTATATATTAGTCTATGGGTTTTAGTAGCTACAGTCAGCAGACACTTACACATTATGAAGATTATCTTCTGTCTTATTATCGACCGCTCTATCTTTGAAGAAGTTGGTGAACAGTGTCCGCAGCGTGTAGTGCAGGTCCAGCACTTGTTTGGACACCTCCGCGCTGTGGTCGCAGCAGTGGTAGATCAGAATCAAGTCCAGATCTGGAAAATGTAGGAAACCGAGATTTAAGATGCGGTGCTAAAAACAACTCTTCTTCGCCTAAATAGGCACTTATAATATTAGCACTTATAGTACCTAGAGTAGAATACCTACAATTTTATTACCACTACCCCTACTCCCGCGGATAACATAAGAGTCGTTTTACATAAGTGTGGGAGAGCCATGGTAAGAATAGGTGCGCTCGACCGGAGTGATACCACGACGCCACACAAAACCGACGTGAAATAACGCTTGCGGTGTGTTTCATCGTGTAAATGAGGTTACCGGAGACCGAATTTTCCCCCTCTCCAATCCCCGAATCACCAACAATCCTCAAGTTTCTAATCCCCAAAAGGCCGATAACGCACTTGTGTGTGGTAGCGCGTAAGTGCCACCTCAAACACCAGAGCCTCGTATTCTTTTTTAAAAGGCCGACAACGCACCTGTAACTCCTCTGGTGTTCCAGGTGTCCATGGGTGGCGCCGATTGCTTACCATCAGGTGATTCGTCTGCTCGTTTACCCATATCCCATAAAAAACAGACCTTAGTCTGTTCATATTATATAACAGGAGTTGTTCATATATCACAAGAGATGGCTCGGCGCAACACTGTCTAAAAAATCTTTTCTGCTGTGATCTCCGACTCACCTACCAAGCGAGACTCTTAGTTTAAAACTGGACTACTTATCTCAGGCTATTAGGTAGGTACAACTGATACTAATAAACTTTGGGCTACTAATAAATTCCGTCGTAATGTAATCTAGATTCAAGTTTGGTAGCCATAATGAATTGAACATTACAAAATAGACGCGCAACAATATAGATGTAGCGAAGTGATATAGGCACTTCTCTTGGCAAGTTGGCATACAATACTGCCTGACTGGCATACTGATTGCAAACTTACTAAATTATTTTGCTTATCGAATACATACACTCTTATATAGGTACAGTCAAGTGTCATTAACCGACACAGCCAAAAAGGAACTAAGTTTATTTACATCACAATGAAAGTCGTAAAAATTAAAAGATTTGTGAGTTCTCGTCATTAACAGGTACCTGACTGACCACAGAATCAGTCTCTGCGCCTACCAAACTTCATCAAAAACAGTATAGCCGTTTATGCGTTGCAGCATAACAAACATACGAATGTGTATTTCTGTATGTCTATTTGACTAATGTTGTGTATGTACTATTTATCTTAAGGTATCTAATACTTAATAAAAAGTAAGTTAAAGGTCACATCCAAACAAGTAGGTACCTGTTTACAAAAAAATATAGGTACCTAGTCGGACAAAAAATGTTTAATAATAATAAATGAATAGTACGCGATTGGCTCAATAAGTCAGAGTCCTTAGTGCCACGCGTGATATTAAAACACGTTTACCTAGACTAGTCTTTTTTTTAAGGGGGTAAATCACCTAATGACTGCTCCCGCCTGGGTGCGGCGGGAGGGAGTGTCAGACTCTTACTGACTAAAAACCACCCCGTTCCTTCTCCTGCACGTCGAGCCGGAGCCCCGGTTACCCGTTAGGTTCTCCGCGACACCTAGACTAGTCTAGATACCAAAACAAATAACGATTAATATTGGTCTTATACATTTTTTAAGTTTTTTTTTTTTAATAAAAACGTTGCCCCACATCAGGATTTTCTCCCGTGGGTGTGTTTACAAACATACAAGTTCACATACCTACACAATGACACACAGACCAGAAACAATAATTTGTGGATCACAGTCTTGTTTCAATGCGATCAAACCCGCGACACGTTTCACGGCAACCAGTTGCCCAGCTACCGCACTAACCGGGCAGTTTGATAGTCTGTTAACATTTGGTTAACTGCATTCTGTTAACAGTTTTGTTAGAGTAGGTAAACACGTACTCCAACAAAACTCCACTTTTTACCAACATCACACCTAGACTAGGAACAACAGTTATTATACTAGATCACACTAAGTGCAAGTAGAGTTGTCTGTGCGCGAATCGAACACGCTACACCTTGCGCAACAACCGGTCGCCCAGCCACTGTACTTATAGTAAGTTTAGTACTATGATTATGTATATAGTGTTTATAGGTAATATGCTTAGATTTTTTGTCAGATAAGCATAAATAATGTGTTTTAAATTGATTTTTAAAAGCAATATTATTGCGTTGTTCCGCAACTGTAAATGCAATAAATACCTAGCTATTATTAGATAAATTATACAAAACTGTAGTGTCACTGTGTCGAGATAATTGAGTACCTATATTATTGTAGAGATTGTATCGAATGTCGACCAGTAATATTCGAGAGAACCTAATGCCGGGTTTACAGTACGCTAGCACTTTAGTCGAATAAATCTAGCGCTAGCGAGTATTTAGTAGCTCTCTCACTTGTCTCTTCGATCCTCAAATCAAAGCGAGAGCTCTCTGTCTGTCTCTCTCTCTCTCTCTTTTCGATTCTGAGATAGAATGGAGAGAACTAAACGCTTGTCGAATAGAAAAAAAACCAATAGATAGGATTTATAAAATTATTGTTTTGTCAGCAGGACCGTCTTAGACTACACTGGCGCTGGGGCTCACAAAATTTCGGGCCTCTTTGAAATGCGCTTTTTTATTTTTTTTTTTACCTCGCCCCCATACTAGCATTTTCTCCTGTAGATATCATGGGTGTAAATACAAACAATCAAGTTCACATATATCTACACGTGACATCTAAACCCGAAACAACAATTTGCGGAGCACAGATTTGCTCCGTGGGGCAGCCAGTTGCCGCGGAACGTGTAGCAGATACGTGTCCGTCTGAGGATGGGGACACTGGAAACGAGCCTCGAGCACCCTTAAGGTGCTCCCTCACCGAGAGCATTCCCGTGTAATGACACGGTGGAGCCATACAGTGGCGGTGTACCCTGCTTGGGCTGGGCACGTGTCCTAAAAGATGTGATGGGCGACGGCGACCTCTCGCGTCCGGCTCTGGTTCAGGCCATGGTGCGAAGCGAGCGGGACTGGGATGCCGTCTCCTCCTTCTGCGAAGCAGTCATGCTAGCCAAAGAGGAGGAGGAGCGCGTGAGGTAACAAACACTCCGGGCGTCGGGGATCGCGAGACGATTTCCGGCTACCGTAGGTGCGAGTCTGCAGACGGTGAGCAAGGGTAGCTCGCCGCCCGACGAGAACCAGACCCGTGCGTATGGCGCGTCGCGTTCCGCGCGCCCCTCAAAAAACCATCAGACTACCGTAGTTAAGGCATTGGCTGCCAATAAAAAACTGTTGAAGGCAAATCCTCCGCTAATGTCGGTCACGGTCGTGTTAAGAAAAAAAAAATAGGGTAAAGACGGTCCTGTTTGTCAGGCATAAATACTAACTTTGGTACATGAGTAGGTATTAAGTAGCTAAACGTAGGTAAAAAATTATGCTTATAATGATTATACTTAGTAACAATTACATTAATTAAAGATGATTGCATTGTTTATAAGTGTATCGAATGCATTGAATATAAGTAGGTACTAATATCTAAGTTGCATTAATGTAAACACGTTTTTTGTCATTTTTAAACAAGTGTCGAGTTAGTTAAATGGTACAAAAAATGGCGCAGATCAAGGCTGGATATAATAAGGTGATATTAACATAACTTCCTTGGCCTCTAGGTACTTAATTATTTTATCGTCTAATTGGATAATACTTAGGTACTTACAGGGGAGTGACAGTAAATAGGTAAGTATGGGATGTTTATTCAGGCTACTGTTTGCTATTTTACGTCTATGTAGGTATTTGTATAGTTACAAGGGGTATTAGGTATTATATGGTGTAGATACGGCGTTGTTGTTATTAGACAAAGATTGTAAAATATGTTATTTTGGCATGTGTACCTACCGTATGCATGTAGTATAAAGCTATTATTATAAATATTACAAACAGACTCTCTAATTATATTGGTACTGCACCTACTGTATAGATTTTAATTCGGTAGGTACCTACTTGCATGAACTATCTGTCACATATGACTATCCAATATCGAGTACTTATAAGGTGGTATAGGCGCGTAGCCGGATTCTGTTTAATTGCAAAGATATCTAAACATTTGTAAGGAAAATAAATACCTAGAAAAACGCAGTTTGCCTTTAGTCCGTAGATAAAATATACAACAGTACATTTCTGCAACGGAGAGACCAGAATAATTAGCACAAAATCTGCATAAATATTTAATTAAAAAAATACGTTACTACCTGCATGTCCATAGGTTTATTGCGTTATCCACTCATTGATTCTTCGAGGGGCACGCTGTTCATAAGCGACACAATATGTACATAATTTAAAAGCGATGATGATAAATGATTACGGCATCAAATAACTGTATATAAAGATAGTAAGACCATAGAAAAAACTTCCTAGTAGTATATCTAACATTACGCCTACTAGTCGCCAACGAGATCAGCGAAAAGGAACATATTATGTTTAATGGTGACACGGAACACTACCTTCTTTTTTAAACTCTGCCCCTTGAATTTCACCTGTCATGGATGCGTTTCCAAACATATAATTTCACATACACATGCATCACAAGAAGAGTTGCTTCGGTAGGGAATCGAACCCAATACCCGTTGCACGGCAGCTTATTGTCCAGCCACCGCACCAACCGTATTATAATCTCGCTAACAAAATAAACGGCGCTAGTATCGTTTTTAATCCATCTAACCTTACCTGTGATACATTCTCCAGGTAGATGAGGCTGTGTGCTGAGCCAGTCGCGTAACTTCTTGATGTCTTCTGGAGTGGTACCTGTGTTCTTCTTATACTCATCTTCTAAGGATATTCCTTTTATAGCCATTTTTCTGGAACAATAGACAAGTTAGGAAGGATTTATAAGTTGCTGTCAGGTTAAAGAGGGAAGGATTAGGTTTAAGTCGGGTCAGTCGGTAGCCTGTCCATAACTTAAACGTAAGTACCTACCTATTAACATAACTACATAAGCTGAATTACAACAAAAATATCCTGACCTTTCAAGAAAAGGTAGGTAAAGATAGAGAAAGTAATCATATTAAAAGATCTAATGTTATACATTTAATTGTGAGTTTTGTTATTAAACCTCTTGAACAATGGTTCAGGATTTAAACGTTCAACATTTTGCCCAGCAGTCATGCTGCGACACTAAGCTGATAAATCATCAACTTAATAAAAAATAGTGTCAATTGTTTCACCGTAAATTACAACGAGTTCATTAGTGACCACAATACAATTACATAATTAAATGTCATTCATTGTCTCTGTTACTGCATTTATTACCATTCATAAATAACCGAGAGACTGATTTATTTACTATTTTGTTCATATTTGAATTGACATGTTGGTATTACCTATCGACTTCGAATTGACTGTTTGGATTGTCCAGTAGACGTAATGAGGACTATCTTTTTTCAGCTACTAACAACTAAAAACTACCAGAAAGTTAATTTCGACGGTTCATTACACTGCCGTCACCACTGGACACTGGCAATATAGTCGACAAGATCGTCTTGGAGACTCGTTTGCCGAAGAAAAAGAAAAAAAAAGAAAAAGAGGACTTTTCTCTTCTTCTTTTTTTTCGAACCTCTCGTTTTTTCGTCCAATAGGGCGTTATCTAGTGCCACACCATTGGTCATATTATTATACCTCAAAATTTTTTTTTATAATTGTAGGGCCGACCTTTGACCACTACTTATCTCGCCTGGTGGTAAGCGATAATGCAGTCTACGATAAAGCACGTCGTTCCATAAACAAGCTATTCACTCGGGCCTCGAAGATACCCTTGAGGAAACACAGACTCTGGCAAAGAATTAGCCTCCTTAGCAGTAGCGCTTCGTGCGTGTGGGTGGGACATCTACCATGAATCGATGACGCTTCACCGATTGTCTTGTGGTACGATGATGCAAAGGACTAGAGGAAATCATGTTGTGCAATTCACCCGCACACTGGCCGATATGTATCCGGTAGAAAACCGAAAGGCAAAGTTTTTGACAGCTACAGTGATTGGACAACAAACCCTTTTGCTACATTTGCGCTATTCGGCGAAGAAAAAGACGGTAGCCCGGTTGTAACTGCCGAGCAAGAGTAAGGACTTCAAGGCTGGCTTCTTTAGAACATTTCTCAGGCCTCTAATATTATGGAAATGAACTCAACCCCTATTACATGGGACTCGTAAGCTCGTAACATAACTGGTATAAAGTGGGTGTTACATTGTTTATACACCGTGAATTCTATTTCATTTTTGGCTCGCGGCAAAATAACTTAAAAAAAAAAATTACACTTTTTTCAGTTAAATTTTTTTTATGCGATATTAATGGAAATACGCTCATGAAAAACTATACGTAAATAGGACACTATTCGCATCCCACGTGCTACCCGATGCGAAATACATTTTCGAAAATTACATGGCATCATGTTTTGATATAATGTTTTTTTCCTTCATTGTTTTTTTACTGCTGTTTTTTTTAAATGTTATTTTATGTTCCTATTGTTTTTTTTTGTTTTTCAATGGTATTTTGTGTGGTCATATTCGGTGGTCCATGCCTGGTGGAGAATAAATTATTTTTCTTCCTTTCTTTCTTTACATAATGTACTACTATTAGTTCATAGGTATGCACTTTCGGAGTTTACTCTCTGCAATGGTTCAACGGTTATTTTTTGTTTTAAACAATTTATTTCTTTTTAAAACTACTGTATTACAAAGACAGAACCATTTTACTTCGGGACGAAAACGAAATAGATTTCACGGTGTATGAAATGTTCTCCTCTGCTTACTACGGTTCCTATACGCATCTAGAAAACTTAATTTCACTCATCATAGTGTTGCCTGTTTAATGTAACAGCTACCTTAAAACTAAAAATAACTAAACCAGTCACGTTGTACAAGTTACGTAGAAACATAATAAGGATAACATCTAGGCTGCTTACCAAGCAATACTGAGTAGGTACTAGATTAAAGCTGAAGAGGTTGTATGTCTATTTCAAGACATAAGGTTTGAGCATTAATCACCACGCTTGCTTGCTTTAAGAAAGTACATATAACTCGGAAAAAGTCACATTGGTACTTGCCGTTGGTAGGTTTCGAACCCGTACCCGTGAGAAGCGGGGGTCTTAAACCTCCGGGCCACCACGACATTTTTGTCTGTCATGTTTGTCTGTTTGAATGCGGTAATCTCCAGAACTACTGGTCCGAATTGAATAACTAGTTTTGTGTTGGATAGTTCATTTACCGAGGAAGGCTATAGGCTATATAACATCACGGTACAATCAATACGAGCTGAGCAGAGCGTGTTGAAACCGCGCGTGTAGTGAGTAAGTAAATTAGTTAGATGCAACTTTATCGTTTTGTTTTGTTCAATATAAATATTTCAATGTTTGGGATAGTGATAAGTTAGATTTTTATCGTCATCATTACTCACAGCCTTTGGGCTTTTACATAAAAAACAGGCATAGTAAAGAATTTTTAATTATTATTAATAGTTTAAACATGAAACTTAATAATAATAAATAGCGATTAATGTCTAAGTTATGTAAGTATCTTGTAAGTAATAGATGGACAAGCATAATTTATCAAGTAAATAAAAAACTGCTTGTCAGGGCCAGGGGCATGCTAATTGGTATTGCGGAAATCTTTGTGCGATATTCCTTTATGATATCTGTCACATTGCACGTATGTATAAAAACGTTATTTTTTTAAGGGGGGAAAATCATAGAATGACTGCTCCCGTCTGGGTGAGGCGGGAGGAAGTGTCAGACTCTTACTGACTAAAAACCACCCCGTTCCTACTCCTGCACTTCGAGCCGGAGCCCCGTTAAATCTACAGGGTATAAGTCTAGGCCCAATGTTTCCTTTGTGTGTGCTCATAGCTCAGTTCGATGAGGCTACCGTGTTTTAGTCACTAAATCGCGGAAATGTAGCGATAGATGTTCCTGTCCAATCCCTACACGTTCAAATATTGAACGTCCAGTCGTGTGCCACTAGCTAATTCCCTATTGGACGAAAAATGAGAGCCTTACACCGGCGCCATCTGTTGAGCAAAGATAGGTACAGTAGCCCCCGTTTATGTTGGGTTTTGAACTTTTGAGTTTTATTGTAATTTGAATAAAAATGACAAAAAATTAAGGCATTATAAGACCAAGAATTATAACGCCTTGGTTTAATAAACCCTTAGGGAACCCTACCAAAAGAGGTAGGCAGAGGTGCACATAACGGCACTTACTGCCACTATACAATGTAACACCCACATTTCACTATTTATTTTATGAGTCCCATGTAATAGAAGGTGAGCCTATTGCCATATACCGGGCACATTTCCAGTCTCCGTGTAGTAACACAGTAGTAACTGATAACTCAGTAGTAACTGAGATTTTACACAAACCTAGTAATACTTTGCCAGACCCGGGAACCGAACCCAAGACCCCTTGCCCGGAAGTCGCACTTGTTATCACACAGCCAATGAGGCAGTCTTTTTCATCTTCTCTTTATATCGTCTGATTTATTTCGTATCGGGAAACAAGACAGTCATTACCCTGGGACGCGCCGGACTTCAGTGTTCTGGCGTTTGCATGGTTGTATCCACTGTAGATCCTAGCTTACAGGTTTTGGGAGGTTCAGGCGAGCTTGACCGCTGATGAGGGTGAATCGCAATAAATTACCGTGGCTCAGCTCTGAGCAGGAGTAGGAAGAAGTATGGGAACATGTTTAGTCAGTTCATTAAGAGCATGTGTGTGACATTCCCTCATGTCACCCCAGTGTGGGAGGTGACAATTGATGATTACTTTATCCTTACTCAAAAAAATACCACACTCTTCTTATCACTAAATAAATGATGTAAAACTAGAATACTCGTATAACTCCGAAATGATACCAAGACTACTCACATTTTAGTTTAAATGCTAGCTAGATGCTATTTCACGAATAGTAGGCAGGTAGTTAGGTACCTCTGATAGGTGTGTGGATGTCCTTGACTATCCCAAACTGGATCCTAAGTGGCCTGAGATTGAGGTCATTGACACTAGGCCATCATAATAATAACTGTCGTAAAGGCTACATGGATAAAGAAATTTTGTATAGAAAAGAAAGACTGAATAGACTAGGCCCATCTAAATCTATTCATGAGCTCTGAAGAATTTATCTCATTTTAGTACCTATTTAGTGAATTTATTACTCGTTGGTTGCAAGTGAGACTGCTGGGCAAGTTGGTTCAAGGAGTCTCGGGCTCAATTCCTGGGTCGGGCAAAGTGGGTGTTACGTTGTACAGAGGCATTACGTCCAATGATGTCCACCTGCGCCTACCCCATCGGGGATAAAAGGCGTGATGTTATAATTATAAGTGCCTACTGCTTAAGCAATTTTTATGCATTCCGTTCCAGATTTGGTGAATTTAATTTTAATTTTAAATTCAGATTGTCCATTGATTGTAGGTAGAATGAGACTGATAAATACTAACATATTTTTTTCAACAAATTCAGTTTTATTTTTTATGCTTGACAATTAAGTAGATATGCAAAGAAACCGCTATGACATAGAGACATGTCTATGATATAGAGACATGTGTGTTGTCAATGAAAGTCAATGATCCCAATGAATTTTTGCCAGCAATATATTATAGCTAAAACCCGTTACAAACTATTATAAGATTTATTTTAAACATCATAGACATCGCTTCAACCACAAGACGATCACTACTGAACATAGGTAGACCTTCCCCAATGACTTGCAAATAGACTGGTTAAAAGCGAACTACAATTTAAACTGGAGGTTCTTATGCATAAAAGTATAGCAACGGCAAATACCAATGTGACTTTTTTCGAGTTATATGTACTTTCTAAGATCATTTAGACACCACTGACAAACGGTGAAGGAAAACATCGTGAGGACACCGTAGCTTATAATTTCGAATTATAAGTTTGAAATCACCAACCCGCATTGAGCAAGCGTGGTGGTTATCCATGCGAGAAGAGCCTTTTGATCAGCAGTGGCCGGTTATAGGCTGTAGATGTGATGTGATATGAATATTAATAATGATAATAATGATAATACCTAGGTAGGTATATTATTTTATTATTAAAATGAACTACTATAGATGTGCATGGTCCTTCGTGCACCTAATTGTTACCTACAGATATTATATAGGTAATTTTATGTACCAAGTACCTACCTTCCTATTAAAGTAAAATAAAATAACTAGTGTCAATAAACATACGCAATATGGTGCTCGATGTGTAATTACTGCTCGTAAAATGTAATTTATGTTATCTTAGTAAAACTATAGTTTGTTTATCTGATCCTATTTGAAGATACGAGTAAATACTAGCTAGGTTACCTAAGTACACGACTTGTACTCACAGCAGAATAAAATCACCACCCTACTATTCCCGCGGGTAGTACCGTCTTTACCATAAGTAGGGGTCCGTGCCCAGGGCCCCCGTCCTCAGGGGGCCCCGAAAGACCGACAATTTCTACGACAGACACGCACCTGCGGTTTCAATTCCCGCACGGAGCAAATCTTTGTATGCTCCACAAATTGTTGTTTCGGGTCTGGGTTAACAAAAACAGAAAAACATTCCAAAGGGGCTTGGATAATACATGTGTGCCCATGGGCACCAGCGAAGTCTAATCCTTTTATACTGCGATCTTCAACGTATGCTTATGAAGATTATATGAGAAGAGGACCATAGTCCTGCAATGGACTCTCATTGACTGTTGATTATGAATATAAGTAACAAGACGCATCAAATTTCTTTTAAGTTGACGGAGCTGGACAACTATTATATAATGGACACTTCAATTTTAAACAGTCTACTATATAAATAAAAATAAATTTCCGTTCGTTAGTCTCGCTAAAACTCGAGAACGGCTTAACCGATTTGGCTAATTTTGGTCTTGAAATGTTTGTGGAAGTCCAGGGAAGGTTTAAAAGGTGAGAAAAATCTTTTTTAGGCGGTACGAAGTTTGCCGGGTCAGCTAGTAATGGTATAAAAATTATTGAATTAAGAAAATATTTTTTTAAGAATTTTTAATGTGATAGGTAAATTAGGTTTCAGTATTTCTATTGTAAATGTATATTTAATTGCAAGATATAACGTGAATTAAATCCTTGTAGCGGATAATAATAATGCCGCTTTTGTTATCTTATAATCCATGTACTTAAACAATCCTAGATACTTATCACATCCTTATATGGATATCTTATTTTCTACTAATCCTACTGATAAATGCGAAAGTATCGATGTCAGGATGTATGCATGCGAAACTATTGAACGGATCCGGACAAATTTTGAGTTGAAATATATTCTAGAATAACACATTATAATTAATTCAATACGTGTCAAATATCCATTCGAATAAAGTCAAAGTCAAAGCATTTATTTAAATTAAACCATAATTTGATACTTTTGAAATGTCAACAAATACAAAATAAATAATAGTCAGTCAGTCTGTCCGTTAGTGAAACTAGGTGCTCGTTCCAAAATGTAGGTTCGAATGGAGAAGAACGAGCAAGAAACTCCTTTTGATACTCATTTAAACAAAATATGTTTTACAATCTCTAATGATATAAACGAACATGTTTAGATATGGTGCAAATAAAAGGCAATAATCACGACTAAATTCCAATGCACGAACATGTTCAAAAACCTGCACGAAAAGAAAAACTATTGCCAAATTAAATTGCACTCACCGTTTATGAAAATTAAATTCAAATCACTGATACATTCACTGGTCTATTATTTATTTATTGAACACGTGTAATCCTTGTTGGCTCTCACACACTACTGAGTGCAGGGTGCGGTGGCCTAAACTATGTACCGCTACGCTCCTGCCATAGTCTACGCACTAGGTAAAGTAATAGCGGCGGGCGGACGTGACCAGGTTTTTAAATGTTAGGTTAGACTTGGTAATAGTCGAATGTTTGCCATCTTTTAGATTAAAATTCTGTTCGGTTGTCATTAATTTCAGATTTAAGACAGTTTATGTTTAGTACTCGGGTCTTGACTATAAATTCTGGCTTAGGTACTGAATATTTTTTATGTAATTGCCCTTGGAGGCCGGTTGTGCTAAAAGTATAATTATCTATTATTATAGTGTCATGAATGAAGCATGTAGAAAAAAGACAAATAGACATTTAAGTTACTTAATAACACTCCATGAGCCATCGATTAGGTCAGAACTTCGAAAACCTTTAAATGTTTTGTGAGTTCGTGTTTATGGGTAACAAATAACATAACATCACGCCTTTTATTCCCGAAGGGGCAGGCAGAGGTGCACATTATGCCACTGTAGATACAATGTAACACCTACTTTTCACTATTAATGTTAGGTATGAGTCTCATGTAATAGGGGGTGAGCCTAATGCCATATACCGAGCACAATTCCAGATCCGTGATACTACTGAAAATTAAAAAAAAACCAGTTATACTTTGTCCAATCCGGGAATCGAACCTGACACCCCTTGCCCGGCAGTCGCACTTGTGACTACTAGGCCAACGAGGCAGCAGACAATATCTCTTCTACGACGGCCTATGAATGAAGTTGATAATAGCAGCTAATTGGTTGCGCAGACATAGAGAACGAGCTCATTGGTGCTCGTTACATAGTACCATGAATACTATTTGCGAAATTATGAGAAACTACTTATTAAACTTCGTAAAACATCGGCGATTTATAAACTAAGTGCGGTTACACTAAAAATATCCTTTGAGATTATAAATCTTCTAATCGGTCGTTCTTTTATTTTTCATAGAGTGATTTATCGACATGATTATACAAAAATATTACTTGTATTATTGAGTAATATTAATCATGTTCTGGATATTAATTTTGAAAAAAAAGCTACTGCATAGCGGATACCGAAATACTGGTCTTGTTTATTGGACATTTTTGACTTGGCCTTAACTAGTATTCTGGCAATTCAAAACATACTTAAGTAGGTAGGTACTGCCGAAATCCAGTAAGATTAAACTCGCTCATTACACGAACTAAAACTGTCGTAATAAGTAAATATTATAATCTAAACATAGGAAGTTACAAGAAGCGCCATCTAGTCATTCCATGGGAAGTTAACCGTGCAGAATACGAATCATCGCTTGCCGCCAACAATGTGTTTTTGTTAAGTTTATAGAATAAATACATATAAAAAGCGCACATCATTTATTTAAACAAAAACTGAATTTTGAACACGAACACATGTAATTCGAAGGAAAAAAGGAATTTAATGCGATTCAGGTAGATCCGGACACGTAAGAGGCGAGGCCAGTAGGTACCTATGTACCTACGCTACAAAAGAATTGTAACAGTCTCCATTTTTAGTAAACATCAAGTGAGACTAGCATTCCCAGACGACTACCCGAAAACGAAAAATGACCATTTCAATATAACAACATTTTGTTTTTATATTATAACTTTCGTGATACATACCTATTAATTATTATGTTTTTCGTACTTACCTACGTAACAGCGCGACAGTCGCCGCGTCACAAGTCGCGAAATGCTCCTCACGAATATGAGCCTCTAGCGTGGCTTGAAACTAGTCGAGTTCCTTGTCGAATAATGAAGTGAGAAAGCCGAAAAACAAACCTAATAAATAATTAAAATTTTGTTTTCACTGTTATTATATCCTCTCTATGATAGTTTCCATAGACTTTTTAGCACTGACTATAATTTGATGAGTTGATTCACAAGGACAGGAAAAACCGCTATTGATTTTCATACACAGATTCAAGATAGACTAAGAATTTATTACCGTTCAGCTTCCGAGTGACATCCAGGCGTCCTCTAACACATTTGCTTGAAAACTTCTAAGATTTTTTGCTAATCTAAGTAATCGGTAATTATTGATATCACGATTATGGCTAATTATCAACTAGTTTTTATTAAATAGTATTAAGAAACAAGAAATAAAAGCGTGGCCTTCAATTCCTAGACTTCTAAAAACATGCCTAAGGTTAAAGGTGGATAAAAAATGTTGAAAATCAGCATGACTACCAGTTTCCTTGCATTATTGCTATTGGTTTTTGTAAATTATATTAAGTAATATTTATTGCCTCTTTGACCAAGTGCAATTACCGGGTCCGGCAAAATACTTGACTTAGATGACTTAATATCCTGTGTCCCCTAGATGGGGCAGAGGGCGTCCACTGAAGTTCTCCATCGCTATCTGTCTTGAGCTTCACGCTTCACCTCACTCCACGTCATACCGACCACGTCATAACATAAATAGTGAAAATTGGGTGTTGTATTGTACAGTGGCATTAAGTGCTGTAATGTGCAGTTCTCCCTTCGGGGATAAAAGGCGTGATGATGTTATGTTATTATCTATTGATGTGCTGTATGTAAATCATTTTCTTTAGGGATTGTTGGTTTAAGGATCAAGGCGTGGTTTGACCCTATGAGAACATCTGACAAACCGCTTTACGGAAATAGCCCTTTGATAATATAATTAATTATCTCACAGTCATCTTGAATTTATATAATTTTAATCAGATGATAAATGATAATCCATAACGTATACAGTCAGCTAAATTATATAAGTAGTAGTAAAAAAATAAAGATAGATTCGGTAAAGAGACATTAGCTATTGTTACATCTACTAAATTGTATGCTTCATAAATATGCAGTTTTTTTTGTAACCATTAGCACCAGACTCAGTTGAGTGCCCATGCAATCAGGGCCGTCTTAGACTACGCTGGGAGCCTTGGGTACACAATAATTCGGGGCCCTTTTGGAATGTCTCTTTTACGTTGCCCTACACTAGGATTTTGTCGCGGAGAACCTAACGGGTTACCGGGGCTCCAGCTCGAAGTGCAAGAGAAGGAACGGGGTGGTTTTTAGTCAGTAAGAATCTGACACTCCCTCCCGCCTCACCCAGGCGGGAGCAGCCATTCGATGATTTTCCCCCCTTAAAAAAAAACTCCATGTTTAGAAAAGTAAAATAAACAAGCTTTGACATTGTACCAAAGAGTATAATATAATATCCCAATAAGTTAAAATTAATTACAACTAAAACAGTGAATAAAAAAAAACAAAAAAAAAATCACAAAAATACCCTAGATACTCGTTCGCATCGCTGTCACCGGGGTACGTTCCCAGAAGACTGGCAGCATTGCCATTCTAACATTGTCCTCATTTAAAATTCAAATTGATTCCAACGAGATTTTTGGATTTGGAACTGGTTAAATATATCTCGGTCTAAAACCCGTACTAAAAATAAAGGTATTCAAAATGTATTTTAGAATATAACCTAACGTTGTTATGAATTTAAATTGCGAAAAAACTTTCCTAAAGGTCAAATTATTTGAAAAAATAAATAAATAAAATTATTAATACTTCGATTCTTAATATGAACGTACCTACCAGATTTTTTTTTAAATAAGCTAGCTAATAAGGGATTGAGTATCATGATTTTTTCTATGAATTTACGAAATGTTGTGCGGTATTGTAATTTGGAAATCCTGATCTTTGATGGAAACATACCAATATTTATTATTCATCGTGACGATACTCCGTGATGAGCCTACTGCATTAGTATGAGCAAAGTTGTATTTTTGCGCATTATATACTCTCACTCTCTTATATGCTCTCTGTTTATAATAACTATCCCACGATAGGCTGAATTTACTGAAAATTACGAGTTACTCACGGAAACATCCTAAAAAAGCTACGGTGCATGCGAGAGTCCCTCTGTGACTCGAAACTAGTAGAGCTTTTCTCAGAATATTTACGTCGGTAAATCTTATTTTTTAGTGAATACAGCAGCTGTCTATTCAATACTTACGTACTTGGTCTTTAATTATGACCTGTGTCATATAATAAGATTTCCACTCATTTTTCAAAATGAATAGGGATAACTCTATTCTTCTATTATCAAAGTAGATCGAACCGTTTGTCAAATGGACGTAAGTGCGATAATAGTAGCGTTTAGCTTGGTTATGGCATCGGGTCCTGGGTATGGCAATGAGTTTACACCTGTTCCATGGGACTCATATAATGTAATTCACTGCTGATGAGGATGAGGTGTTTACTTCTGTCGCCATTTTTAGTAGAAATGACAAAGACCTATAGAGCCAACACAGCAAGACAGAAAATAGCCCAACAACAAAAATACTTTATTCATACAATTTAAGTTTTATATTCATCAATCAATATCAAGTTTCTTGAAGGATCCCTCCACTCCGCCGAAGATATCGGAGATGGTCTTCGGTTTGCCAGGTCTCTTGGACTCCACCACACGTTTCTTGTTCTCCTGTGCGAAGAATTCTTTCGCATTTCTAATTCTTACCAACACGTCATCTGAAAGATAGAACATATTTATCGTAGAGGGCGCTAGTATCGATTATGGACGAGTAAGTATTTTTTTTTTGTTGATTACTGCAATGAGTGCTATAAAGATATATAATATTTTAAATCAATTTCATTCAATATCGAAATAATAGTAGAAGGTGAGACATGGAAGGGATTACTAGATCCTTTGAATAATCATAAGTCTGACAAGTTGTCCAGAATGGTACTTTAAAGGTTTTTTCAAATCATGTAAGTGCATTTTAATGAGTAAAGGAACAGTGATAGAAATATTAATTTCTATCATCAACCAACCGTTACACTGCTGCAGTGTCTTGTACTCTCCACCAGATTCTTTCGGCAGACCTTCAATCGGCATGAACTTTCCAATAGTTTTCGATCCTATCTGGTGGATGCTCAACATGTCCAGGAGCTCCTTCTTCATGAACGGCCGTAGGATCATCATCAACTTATCCATGAACGATGGCGCATTTAGAAAGTGCAAACTTTTGATTTTGAGTAAC